CTGAAATCCAAGTGTCGATCTTCTGGAGTCAAGAGCATTTGCAGGCACATGGCGGGGTCGCTGCCGTCCAACAACCAGTTGAAATGTGCAGACAAGTCGGGAGGGGGCGCAGCGAACGGGAAAGCATCAGGCCCCGTGGGACCTTTTGCGTGCATGCCAAGCAGAACATTCTGTGTGGCTGACGGTGAGCCAAAATGTGAGTTGGTTGCGCCGGCTGCCGAGTATGCCTCCTCCGATGGCGGCAGACCGTCTCGCGCCATTGTGGGCGAAATGCTACCAGCAGCGGCAGTTGTGGCCCGCCAGGCTTCGATGGAAGCCGGCTCGCCATTGCTGTGGAACATGGGAACATCCACATTCCTGGTGGGCGGAGAGGAGGACGTCCACAAAAGAGCGTTGCGGCTGTGCATGCCCTGCGGATCGGACATCAAAGGGCTCTGGGAAGAGTGCTGGGCCGGGATGTGAAGCGGCTCAAATGTCGACTGAGGTCGGCCGTAGTATCCTTCCCGCATCGGGCCTTCGACGTCTTGAACACGTCTTGGTCGCTTAAACATGTCCTCGGACTGAGCGTCGTGATCAAACCCAGTCGAGTCCGTCTTGGTTTTTTTTGGAGTTTTCGTGTGATTACTCCATCGCCCCAGGTTCTTGCCTCGGAGCGCATGTCTCTCGAGATGCCGAGTCAGCAAATCAGGACGAACGAAGCTGTAGTCCGTGAGTCACACATGAAGCAGATCGCGTGAGAAGTCAAGCTCAACATTTTGGAATGGAAAACATGGCAGCTCACGTTCTTTCGCATTGATCGCAGCGCAGAACGGTACTTGCACCTGCTTCGTGGTTCAGCTGGTGCCTCAACAGATGGTCAGGCCGTGCGTAGGACTGCTCGAGTACAGGTCAGTTTAGCAAGTACCAATTGAAGAGGCAAGAATCTGCTCACCTTTGTACAACCCGGCTTGTCGCAGACGTGGCGCTGCGGATGCTGCGAGCTGCTGCTTGGCATTCTTTCGCCTCGATTAGCCTTGTGATCGAGATGAAGCACAGCATACACACAGCGAATCGTGAGTGGATGTGGAAGCGTGCTGAGATGCTCGGGAGAGAGTAGTGCGCCGTACGTGCAACACTTTTTGCCTTTGAGCCCTCTCTTCCTTATCAAGCCAAGCCGAGGTCCTGTTTGATAAGTGGCTGCTGCTGAGCGTGCATGAGAAGATTTCGCTCGCCTCCACGCGTTCGGACCCTGAAAGCTAGAGCTCGAGCAGTCGCGGCAGCGGATAGTGCGCGCGACTTTGGTCTTGCGTCCTTGCGCGATCACGAGTCTGGGTTGGGTGCTCTCTCTGATAACGTTATGATGGGTGAGGGTTAAAATCGAATCGTGAGTGGAGCCTTTCCGGCGGCGAGACTGACTTGAGCGTGAAATCGCATACATATGGTCGAACCTCGACTCACACTAAACGCACTCAAGATTAATCAGCAGCACACACTCTGCGGCCCTCGTGGCTGCTTAATTGATACGCGGGGTGGAGCTGCCGGACGTGCCTGCATCGGCAAGCGGCAGCACTTGACTCA